TTATTTGTAGGTTATCTGAGATTGGGGCTTGACATAATTTGGCAATAGATGTATAAAATAATCTAAGTCACCCAAAGAAGTATAGTTGAATATGAACATAGTCGCAGAGTAGTGGTCTTAATAATTATCTAAATCACTAAGGTCACACTTACTTCAGTGGAACATAAGGTATAAAATATTCCTTAGGGGTATACTGTATGACTTTAAATTGCACCTTCTCATCTTCCAACTTAAGAGGTGAGTTGTTGTTGTTTCTAGCTGAGCATAAGCTAGTTGCTTGTACTGGATGTAAATTCTAGAGCTTTAACTTAAAGCATATCAATTGAAAGGAAGAATATCTCTGAAGGGAAATTTCATCTAATGTTCTAATATACATATCAATCTTCTTATTTCTTCAGCGAAGGTCAAGATAGAGACTCCAGGGTTGAATACTATTTATTTAGGCATAGCAGCTAGGTAGCACAAGATCTAAGAATCTAAATATATAGAGAAGAGGCAGGAATAACAAACTCTAACTGTGTCTTCCCTATGTCTGGAGTTTGTTCATGAAAAGTTGTGATATTGGAAATTCTATTTCAACTCTTACTGGCTCATTCATATATCTAGTAGTTATTTATAGTATCTGCATTGTGTTTTATGATGAATTTTATATAACAAGCAGTGATTTATACTCCATATAGGTCATCCATATATCTGGGACTCAGTCATTGAGGAATAGTGTATGATTGAAATACATATAACAGAATTAGAGGTGATTTTTTTTGCTTTGATGGTATTCTTATCTTGTTGAAGTTGAAGCTTCAGTGTTTGCATGAAACAAAGTAACCAGCACATCCATATCTGCAGACTAGGATATTTATGTTCATGTTTTTTCTGCCTACATAATTACTTTCCTTTTACCATTTGATATAGAAGGAATAGATGATGTCTGGGGTGTTGTGTGGAATCATTCAAACTTTTACTCAGTCTACCATATATCTGAGATTTGATCATAGATGAATAGGGTATTTATATTTCCATGCTGACTCCAAATATTTCACTCATATACCAGAGATCATCTTATGATTGAATATGAGCTAGAGTAAAATTGATTTTTAGAGAAAAATTACACTAGAGTGGATGTGGTTAAATACTATAAGATGTGGATAGATCTGAATTTGTGTGCTCGAATTCTTACATACATTATCAAGGAGATCTATCTGTATTTATATATTCCCCTCTGTAGATTTTTGTCCACCACACCATCCAGTGTCATGCATGGTATGTAATTCATATCATACTAGTCATATACAGAGAGCAGTAAGGAAGTTATGAGAGGCTGCCTGGCCCTCTGTTATTAAGTTACCTCTCTATTTTTCATTTGGTTCATTGTCTTGTATTTTATTTCTCACTTTTCAGCCTTATTTTATCTTATATTTTTAGGTTTTTTTATTTGGCTTTTTTTAGCCACCAGATTTATTTGTCAAAGTTTGTATCTCTTTATTTATTTCTGACTGTACTTTTATCCAGCTTCTTTCAGCCACTAGATTTCATTTGTCAGCATACCATGTGACTGAGGAATACTGTAAGAATCAACTCAATTCAACACCCTTGTATGACTGTGACATGCTGGGTCAATTCAACATTCTGACACTTAGGCATATGACACGTGACACACCAAATATTTCGGCACATTGAATTACAAATTAGGCAGGAGGACGTTATCATGACGATGACAAGAGCTAGATTTTGCAGATAGTCAGAATGTACGTCGTACAGATACAGCGCAAGTCAGACTCACATAGTTAGAACCGCTGCGCAAATCCGGGGTCGTCACAGAAGCAAATTTTGATTTTATTGTGACGTCAAATGGTTTCAACACAAGCACATGTTACGTGTGACAACTACCTAATTTCAACACCAACACCACCGACTGTGACACGTGACCGTCAAATTGAGTTGATTCCTACAGTATTCTAGTTTGTAGCATTATTTAAGCTGACTCAATATATTTAGTTATGATTGGACATGCTTTGTTATTATACTATCTTACAGGGTGGTGACTACAGTTGACTGTCTCATAATGCATAATATTGGTCCCCAAGGTCTGTCATGCTATGTGACCAATTGAGCTAAACCCCCTTAATTTCCTTATATAATAATACATAACTGTCCAATTTCATTATGTACTATTCAATATGGTAAATATAGTGTGGATGAACATGGTCCCAAGGTCCTACCATGCATTATGAGATAATCAACTGTATATAACTTTCATTATCATCATTCTATTCTGAAGTTATATACTACCTTACAGGGGTTGACTATAGAACTTTTGTTATTATGGTTCTACTCTAAGTTATATACTATCGAACAGCTTTCATACTAAGCTTTATATGTACACATAAGACTCTCTCTTTCAATCGAAAGTGAGACATAAATCTAAGGACGACAAAGTTGAAACAGACTTTCATAGGTTGAAACATGACCTACTAGGCTGAAACAAACCTAATAAATTATCCAGAAAACAGAACATTCCATGACATACCATAAGATTATACAAGAAGAGGATAACAAACTAAATCCTTTCAAAAACTCACCACATTATCTCTCATGAAAACTAGAAAAGTCAGAGACCATGGACTTAAGGACTGGCAAGAAGTTTTCACCATGTATAATAGTGTTGTCATTATATATAACTTTCATATAAAACCTTTAAGTAACAAGACACTGCTCGATCCTTTCAGTGAAAAATATGTTCTGTTGGGTGATCTCCTAGGGTTGAGAAATGATGATGGTTATCAATGCATTCAAGATGAATAATTCCTTTCCCCCTGCAAATTAATAGCTCTCTATTTAAAGGAAATTGACTCCTATGTTGTAAATCCTCACAAAAGAAATCACTAGATGTTGATGGTAATCTATCATTACCAGGTTTGTCTCAGCACACAGAATTATGTGCTGCTGTAAGTGCCCTGCATAGCTGAATAGGTGAGTTCACTCAATCTTACTTTGATAATCACAGATTTATTACAAATCTAACATATATAAGCACGAATAGCCACCAGCTCGGTGTCAATTGTGTCCACCCCGTCATTCTGTGCAGCTCTGATGCACACTCTCATCGTCTCATATTTGCTTTTCATTCCTTGCTTCCAGCACTATGGCAACCAGCTGCACTTTTCACAGATTAGTTGGCATTCAAAATGCCTCTAGATATAAATACGACAATAAGCATTACTGGAAATATGAACAAACCCCTGACTACTTAGCAATGCTAACTGCACCTGGAGTGCCTCCACATCAACTGGATCTCAAAATAAACTTTATACATATGCGCGATACAATGCAACCTATCTGTGGAAAAAGGATTGGTGAGAAATGCGCATGTACGAATAACTGCCCTGCATCGTCAATTTGTCAAACTCCAACTGCTCCACAACCTCGAAAACCACTGTATTCCGTGTATCACGTTTTCGTTACATCCCTATCGGTCTAGCTGGACTGTGAATCGCAAGCAGTTTCCTTTGAGACTAGCTTATGCAACGACTTTCAATGGATGCCAAGGACTCACGCTCTCTCGCACTGTTCTTGATCTCAGAACAGATCCTTTTGCGCATGGTCAATTATATACTGCGCTATCTCGCTTATTTTCAGCTGGGAATGGGACGAGAGATACAGCAAACATAGTGTACAAGTCTCTGCTTTGGTAAATGGAACACAACGACTGAAGGTCATCGCTTGTATGATATAATATTTAGATGCAACATATTTATTCTCTCCAGATATGTGTCCTGAGTGGCTTGGCCATTACAGCTCACAATCGTCCATCACTGTTCTGATGCTTGTCCACATGTTATTCCAATCTATCACCCGTACATCACTGTTCTGATGCATGTCTTTATTAACTAGTGCTCAATTTCTCCATTAAATGTTATCTATATTATCCATCAGTGATGAATAAGCAAGTTCCAGTTGTTAATCGACATTTGTCCAGAACAGTCCAGAACATGTCTTGAACATATTTGTGTGAACATACATGCTGTCGTGCTGCACCTACAGTTAATACACATCTTTAAGGTTATTTTCTGCTACAACTGTCTTCTTTATGCTACATAGAATGAGAATATATTATGTAAAATACTGTCTGGGATACAAACGTTCAAATGTCCAGAACATCCGAAATGCCGACATGTTCTAGCTCTATCAAAGATAGGTGAAACCCTGAACAAGCAAGTAAAATGTGCGACTCGATCTTTGTCTGCAGGGTCGATGGCCCATATGTGTCATTTTTCTAATCATATTTTAAACAAACATATTTGCAAGTATGGATTTTGCACTAAGGGAAAGGTAAGATTTAAATAAAGATCGAGAGATTCTCCTGCTTCGGATTCAATATCTTCATCCTGTGAACACAAAAGTCCCGAGTCCCAAAATATGTGTAGCCGTCCCAAAATAGCCATACTCCACCAGAGGGCGCAATGCACTTGTCACGCGATGTCAATTCAAAATATTCCGATCACTGCGCGCGATTTTAATGTCCCTCCATTCTTCCAAAATTCAAGAAGTTTTTTTGGGGCGCTTTATTTTCATCGACCAGATAAAGACGAGAATATTTCTTTATGTGAATGAAAATTGAGTGAGAGGGCCCATTTCTGCTCAATTTCTTCCCTTTTTTTTTACAGAAAGAACCGATCATACGATCAGTGCTGAAGGACGGAACTATCGAATTAGACTTCTCCAACAGCTGTCCGTCGCTTCCTTGTACAACTACTGCGGATTGATGTGTCGCGAATTTGTCGTAAATGCTGTAATCAGTCCATCATTTTATTTTCCGTGCTACGCCTTCATTTTTTTTCATCCCTGCAGGTGCAGGGCTATGTACATGTCTTCATAAATATATAAAACCTTCAGAGGGGCATAAATCCACCCATCCAACGATAAAACCATACCTATCATTACATATCCTCTGTCTACTATAAATGTCCGTCAACCAGACCTGTGACCATCCTGGATGCACCATGGGACCATTCCAGACTTCCAAGACAGCTAGGAAGCACCGGTACCGGTACCACTCTGTCCCTATCCAATTCCTAATTGGCGGGCTTCAGTATATCATAGGCCAGTCCGATGGGAAATACACCTGCCCGCTCCCAGAGTGTAAAACAATGTTCAAAAAACGTGAAGATATGCAATCACATATCACTACCGACCATAATGAGGATGAGAAGGTCAAGGTTTTTGATACTCCAGATTATAGTGAGTACAATGCAACATTGAGTCGTTGTTTAGTAGGACTGACTTTCATAGTGGTGGCCCCGTACCATGTTATCGTCCATCAAAACGCCATTCCGGATGACATTTCTACCGTTTGTCAGTCTATTTGATGTCACCTTATTAATTTGTATGTTAACCAATCGATCAAGGTTCTGGGGCGGTACTGCCTGATATTGTAGTCCACAAGGCCTCTTCCGCTCAGGATATTGGCGTCAGAGGTGACGTATATTTAATTGCAGAATTTAGAAGGCTATGCTTAACAATTTTTCCATGTCGTTTACACAGGATCTTCAATCAATGTGGAATCTAGGACCGTATCGTTGTTGCCTTCGGTTGACTACTTGATGTCAAATGAGGTTCTGGATTCACTTGGGGTATGCATTCACAGTCATCTGAAAATCCTTCTCTGCTACTCGTGCCGGGTGGCATTGACCTCTAGCATGGTATCGGGACACAGGAAAAACCACCACAATTTATATAAAGTACGTGTATCACTTGTATTGTACATCCCAAATTTGACACTACCATCCCACATGACTAGATACCTTCAGCCACATTGCAGTCCTTCTTGGACTTTTGCTCGGAGTCACACATCTACGACAAACCAGAGCATGTAAAGCTACCCACTCCAGGGGGACCACCTGTCCAGCTCATTGCAGGCCCAAGTGACGGATTTGCATGCACAGCATCTGCTGATTGCGCGTATGTGGTCAAGGATATTAGCACCATGCAGCGACACAGTAGGGAAGCGCACCGCAACATTGGCCTGATAGAGATAAAATATCGATCTTGCCAGGTACAACGTATCTTCACCGGTGTACGCAACTCATATTTTGAGGTCTCCCACAATGTGGCGGCTGGAACCAGACCTGACGTCAAGGCCATCCTTCAGGCCACGTTCCTACCAGCAATTGACGTTGCATTAGTCGTTCCAGCTGATACAGAGAGGGAAAGGACACCCCTGACGCGTTTTATGGGTTGGGATAAATTCAAGGTAGACCTACGAATGAATCCCGCGCAGAGACGAGCAGCGGACGAAATTAAGAGCAAACATACTGACGATGAACACGATGGTATCCTAGTGGATCTTGCTTCTACTGTGCGAGAACACATGGCGAAGGCATCCACCATCTTGGATGGTCACCCTCACAGGTTGAGCTTGTCTAAGCTGCTGTTGTACGGTGACGCAATCCCACGGGACAAGTGAGTAATTCAATCACATCACAACAACTGCATCCTTAACCCATATCCGCGCTTACAGTGACAGTCATTGGAGGCCTGTGTCGGATGACAACGCGGACTATCCAAACTTTATGCTACAATTGATGAGATCGATAATGCGCATTCACCTTGGATTTCCGCTGGATTTCTCGTTTCAGCTGTCCGCCGTGCAGACTCATTGTCTCGAGGAACTTGTTAGTGTCCTGCGTGACGAGGACGCATCCCCACGTACCAGGATGATCGTCTACCACAATCTTGCGTGGTCCCTAGTGGATGCAGATCCCGATTTGTGCGTGGTAGATCGATGGGCAAACCCAATCAAGCGAGCAATTTGGCTTAGGGCATTGCGTCCGGACGGAAACTTCTGTGAAGCGTCCACACTCACACCCGACCTAGCAAAGCTGAAATACTTTTGCAACATCACATCTCTCCTCGAAGCGCTGATGGACAAAGAAGAAGATACAGATTCCGTCCATTTCGACGACCACGAGTGAGTGCCCCTTTGCAATTTCAAGCCTGCAAGCACTGATAATTCATTTGGTGCGAAGTCGCGTCATTCGTGTTCACCAGCGGGTTCTACGTCTCGGGCGTGCCACCACGTTCAACATAGTGTATGAGATGCAACAGTATGCGTCGTCTGTGTCGTTCAATCAAACCAAAGAGCCGAACGTTTATGTCGATCCCGACGTGAAATCCATCACGATAGGCACGGAAACCATGTTTATGGACAAACTCAGAGATGGGATCCAGAGGCTCTTGCAGGACCTAAAGTTCCGATATTTGGAGCTGACGCACGACGTTGTCATGCTGAAAGTGGTCCCAGAGCAGGTCAAAGACGATCTAACCAACTCCACCCGCGGCTATTCGCTGTTGTCAGAGGAACCTTTCTACAGGAAGCGCCACGACTTGCTATTCCACTTGGTGGATGAATATGATCTTGCAATTGTCGACAACGCTGGACGACTCGCATGGAACATCCCTGCAATAAAGGACCTCCTCAGACGCTCGCTTCGTGTCTGGGAGCCTCTGTACCATTTGATGTATATCACGACTCACATATCTTGTCGGGGGACTCAGTTCATAGACCACAAAGTCAGCAATGCGGACAGGCATCGCAACCTTTTTATGCAGGGCAACGAGATGTTCCTCCTGACCGGGTACAGCAAAAAGACTGGTATCACAGATCGTGACTCGTGCACTCCAGGGTTCGTGCCCAAGGACATTGCATTCTGGGTCCTAGAAATGCTCGCAGGTGGTTTACGGACGGCCGAAGCCATACTGGCTGGTGTTGCGTATGGGACCCAGTCGGAACATATCTATAGGACGTGAGCATTGTCCTGAAGCATTGATACAACTTAAATTCGTTTTGACATATTGATTTAGGTACCTGTGCGTCGGTGATGGAGAGAGGATTAGTCCGACCGTTTTTTCCGCAAGACTACATCACTGGAACCATGATTACTTCGACTGCCGATGGGGAGTGAGAGATTTCCGTCAATGCGCAATCACGATTGGTCGTGAATTCATCACCCCTGACGACTCGTATGACCAAGCAGACAACATTCTCGCTGAATCTGCCGATCACTCCACTGGAGTGGACCTTAGTTACTACGCCGTCGTTCAAGGAGCAGTTCCTCGACTGTCCAACAATAGTATGTGCAGGCATAGATGGATGGGAGATCAGTGGCATAGCATCCTTGGACTTGGTCCCTTACCACCTCCGGAGCCAATCAGAATCAGTCGAAAGAACATCGCTAATGGTACCAGTCTTCAATCTATGTTGGACATGGTACGGAAAACCACGAAAGAAACCCTTACATCATTTCTGGACGCCCACGCATCAAAGATACTCCAGCACACTGTCTGCAGCACCTCAGCACAACACTCAAAAGATGCCACAGCCAATGTAACTATGCGAGAAATATCATCACCGCTACCAAGCACCTGGAAGGATAGGTCCTTAAGGTTGAGCGGACATTTGGATGACTTGTTTTACGACGAGAGCGAAGGTAAGTAACACAATCAAATATATCCGCAGGACAACTATATTACTCTTCACAGTTATTCATCCAGATCTACCACTGTCATCAGGGACCAGTGGGTACAATGAGAATTCCAGTGAGTCCAACCACCATTGTCGTACACTTCAGAATCTCATGTCATCCCCAAGGCATGAATCATTCTGTTGCTGTGTCACCCACCGCAAGTGGTTATATTCAATGCGGAAATATGTTATCAGACTCTCCACTTCCATCGTCATCAATCACAAGCATCTCACGTACCGAATACATCGAGGGGTCGGTAACATCATCTGGCATCGTTCCAACCAGCGATAAGGGCGAATTGACTCCTATCTATGATCGGAAGGGTAAGGGTAGGGCGTATGAACCCGGAACACAGGTGGCGCTCAAAGACATTCCTGGAAGTAGCCCCGTCTTTGATGATGCTATGTCCTCAACCATATCTCCTGTCGCGAACGTGAAGCGCAAACGTGGCACCTATAAGGCAAGGGAAGTTCGACCCACAGATGTAGGAATTTCTTCTACAGAAAGACACACGTCTCATTTTCTCCAACAGCACCAGTCCATCCCAGATATGTCCAGTGAAACTCCTCTCCCATCAAATGTATACCGGACTCAGAAGCATGCAATACAGCAAAAACGGCCGATAGAAGATCAGGAGGAACATTCCAGGCGTCCAAAACGTATTCGCAGGTTGTCGATGGAGGAGATCATCATCTCCAGCGATCAAGATATTTCGAGTGTAGAGGAAATTCCATCGAAACGTCGGCATGGACAGCGACCCGCGATGCGAAAGACTCCTGTGGAGGTTGTCACCATCTCTAGCAGTGATAGCGACTCAAGTCCAGATGAGAACATTCCCATAAAACGTCTTCGA